GAGCCCGAAGTGGACCGGCGTGCCCCCGCTCCGCGAGGCGCTGGGGACGGCGCCAGGCCGCCGCGGGTGCCCGCGGGGGGGGGGGCGGCCGGCTGTGTCGTGGTGATTGTGGTGGTGGTGGGCGTCGTCGCTGGGAGGAGGAGGAGGAGGAGGAGGAGGAGGAGGAGGAGGAGGAGGAGGGAGGAGGAGGAGGAGGAGGAGGAGGAGGAGGAGGAGGAGGAGGAGGAGGAGGAGGAGGAGGAGGAGGAGGAGGAGGAGGAGGAGGAGGAGGAGGGGGAGGAGGCAAGTTTGGTGCGCTCGCGTCATATCTGACGTGCTACCCCTGACTCCCATCCCCTACCGTGGCGTAGATCTCCTCCATATTCGCACAATCGGATGTCGTAGCATGTCACAGCATTACATGGCACAGCATGGTGTTGAATATCAACGCGTAGCATGACATAGCATGGCGTGGCGACGCCCCAAGGTGGGGGGCGTCTGTGGCCCAAAAATTCAACGAATCGACACCGACTGTGTAATCACTTCCGATGGTTTATTTGGGAGGTCATTTTTAAGATTTTGGGGCCTATTTGGAAGGACCGAAAACCATGCCGGGGCATGGCGCTGGAATTAATGACGCCAGCGCTACAGCGGGAGCACGTTTCGGAACGAGCGGAAGCGCGGAAATGAGGCCAGCGCTGCAGCGGGAGCACGATTTGGAACGAGTGGTAGCCCGAAAATGAGGCCAGCGCTTCAGCGAACGCAGCATTTTGAAAAAAACGACGCGGAAGCGCGGAAATGGACGCGTAGCCTGACAGCATGGCGCGGCGACGCTCCACAGGGGTCACTTCTGATGGTTTTTCGGAGGTGCATTTTTTAGATTTTGGGGATTATTTGGAAGGACCGAAAAAACCACGCTGGGGCATGGCGCTGGAATCAATGACGCCAGCGCTGCAGCGGGAGCACGTTTCGGAACTAGCAGAAGCGTGGAAATGAGGCCAGCGCTGCAGCGGGAGCACGATTTGGAACGAGCGGTAGCCCGAAAATGAAGCCAGCGCTGCAGCGAGAGCAGAATTTTGAAAAACAAACCCAAGCGAAAACCCAACTCCCGAGAATCCTGTGTGTAAAAAGGCAGTACTCGAAGGGTGGCCGGACTTTCCCCGGACGCCACCAGGAGACAGAGGAGAATAGTATTCATATTGTGTAATTGTAGAAGGCGGAGGAGGAGGCGGAGGAGGAGGCTGAGGCGGAGGAGGAGAAAGAGTAAGAGGAGGAGGAAGAGGAGGATTAGTAGGAGGAGGAATAGGACTAATAATAAGCAGTACAAGAATAGCAAATCAATAAGAATAACAGTCTTATTATTGATACCGATCTTCGTGCTAGTAATACGAAGACGACTGTTGCTACTATTACTAGTTTTACGGCGGCTACTAGTAGTAGTAGTAGTAGTAGTAGTAGTAGTAGTAGTAGTAGTATTAGTAGTAGTAGTAGTACTACTACTACTTCTTCTACTACTACTACTACTATTACTACTTCTACTACTACTACTACCACCACCACCACTACTACTACTACTACTACTACTACTACTACTACTATTATTACTACTACTACTACTGCCTACTACCTACTACCTACTACCTACTACCTACTACCTACTACCTACTACCTACTACCTACTACCTACTACCTGCTACCCACTACCTACTACCTACTACCTACTACCTACTACCTACTACCTTTTACCTACTACCTACTACCTACTACCTACTACCTACTACCTACTACCTACTACGTACTACCTACTACCTACTACCTACTACCTACTACCTACTACCTACTACCTGCTACCTACTACCTACTACCTACTACCTACTGCCTACTACCTACTACCTACTATTTACTACTACTACTACTACTACTACCACTACTACTACTACTACTACTATACTACTACTACTATACTACTACTACTACTACTACTACTACTACTACTACCTACTACTACTGCCTACTACCTACTACCTACCTACTACCTACTACCTACTACTACTACTACCTACTACCTACCTACTACTACTACTACTACTACTACTACTACTACTACTACTACCTACTACTACTACTACTACTACTACTACTACTACTACTACTACTACTACTACTACTACTACTACTACTACTACTACTACTACTACTACTACTACTACTACTACTACTACTACTACTACTATTACTACTACTACTACTACTACGACTACTACTACTACTACTACTACTACTGCTACTACTGCTACTACTACTACTACTCCTACTACTACGACTGCGACTAATAATATTAATAATGCGACGCGTCGTAATTTCAATCAAAAGAATGCGCATACTAATTAGAAGGCGAATCAGACTGGTACACATAGTAATGTTGAGGTAATATTACTTGGAGTGGTAGCACTAGCATCAACGATACTAATATGAATAAGGATAGTACAACTAAGCATCATAAGAGGAGGCGAAGGAGGAGGAGGAGGAGGAGGAGGAGGAGGAGGAGGAACACTACCCTAACGCCTCAACGCCTCAGCGCCGAGAAAGGAAGACGGATAGGCAAGACAATTTGAGAGGAGCCAGCGTGCACATCTCAACCAGATAAAGTACCGAGGGAGGAGGAGGAGGAGGAGGGAGGAGGGGGAGGGGAGGAGGAGGAAGAGGAGGAGGAGGAGGAAGAGGAGGAGGAGGAGGAGAGGAGGAGGAGCAGGAAGGGGGGGAGGAAGAAGAGGGGGAGGAGGAAGAGGAGGAGGTGGAGATGAGGAGAACCAGCAGGAGGAGGAGGAGGAGGAGGACGAGGGAGGATGAGGACGAGCAGGAGGAGGGGGAGGAGGTGAAGGAGGATACTCGATCTGTCACCATGTCCGTCCGCCCGCCCCTGTTCGCTGGGGCTCGCCGTCGCCGCGTTTGTGTGGTGCCTCAGCATTCGTTTCAAGCGCCCGGTGCGACGCGGTCCAGGGAGGTGTTATGTGGTATCTTCGGGGAGTAGGTGTTCTCGGGAGGCGTCATGTGGTGGGTGTCCAGGGGGTGTTCCGGACAGATGTCCTGGGGAGGTGTCATGGGGGCGGGTCCTGGATGGTGTTCTGGGAGGGTGTCCTGGGAAGGAGGTGGTCTGGGGAGGGAGGCGTCCTGTGTTGAGCGGGGGTGTTTTGGGGTGGCGTCGGGGGGTGGCGTTCTGGGAGGGCGGGGAAGGTGAAAGGGAAGGGAGGGGAACGGAAAATAAAGAGAACAGGTGGGAAAGGGAGAGAAAAAGTGAAGGGGAAGGGAAAGGAGGGGGGAAGGGGAAGGGGAGGGCAGATGCTCCTTGTGTATTCGCGACCTGTCGGGCGCAATTCATTGTGGCGTCACCGAGCGCGCGGCCTCCACCTCGGGGTTCTTTGTGGCAATCAAGGGATCTCGTCGGGGCTCCGTCGGCCACCAGGTTGCAAGCCTCCCGCAAAATGCAAAGATATCCAAGCTCTCGGCGCGTCCAGGGAGAGGCTTGCAGTTCTAGGGCGAGGGGGAACCCAGGGGCCCCGGATCCGGTCCGGGGGGGAGGGCGGCAGGTTGACTTCCGGGGAGGCAGACCTCCCACAAAATATCGAGACATCTGAGATTTACGCGCGTTTAGGAAAAGGTTTGCGGCCTGGGGCCGGTGGGCATTCAAGAGTCGGCTCGGGGGGTGGGGCGGCACGGTGACTCCCTGGGGAGGTTCCAGGGGAGGCCCTGGTAGGCTTCTGGAGCTTCGTCGAACCCGCGTAGTAAGGATGAACATGGTTTTCAAGGTCTACATGGCCTTCTAAAGCCTTCCAAGGCCCTTGCATCCTTGTCGTGCGTCCTTATCATATGGATTGACCGTATCAAGAAGGGGGAGGGGAAGGGAGTCAGGGAGTCGCTCGTGTTTCCTGCCTCCTCCCCGCTGCTTCCTCGTGCCCGCTCCCCCCTCTGCGCCCCGTTGCGCCACCCTCTGCCGCAGCAGGTCTGGGCGCGTGGGCCCGGGCTACCAGCCCAACGCCACCGGAGGCGTCAGGGGAGGAGGAGGAGGAGGAGGAGGAGGAGGACGAGGAGGAGGAGGACCAGCACGCATCCTGAAAGGGGGTTCTGCCGTCTTGGCTGCAATCGCGCGGCGGCGCGGAGGCGCGGGGCGCGCCTGGGAGATCTGGTTGGCGAGATCGGGCCGCGCGCGGGGGGGTCACACACCCTCCCGCGCACGCTCCCCGCTCCAGTCCTACCTACCCTCCTCCCTCTCCTGCTCCTGCTGCTCCTGGGCTAAATCTACCAGGAGCTGGGCCAGGGGATGAAGGGGCGAAGCTGCACCCTGGGCTTCTTGGGGTGCCTTCCTTGACAAATCTCATTCCATGCATACTTGGATCCACGCTTCTGGGCGTCCGAGAAGCGCCTGGGACAAAAGCTGGACAAATTACGTGGATTCGAGACCGCATAAGCTCCACAAGTCTGACAAGCAACGATGAAGCTCTCGCCTGTCTCCAAATCGGCCACCACCAGCGTGTAGCCGTGACTGTCAGCAGCGAGGGTTTTTAGAGGGGAATTGCCAGTGCACTTCTCGTTGAGCCTGGCTTCTTTCCTCGCCTCAGAAAGCGCCCTCGTCTTGCACAGCTTGCAAACCCATCCCCCCAGGCTCCAAGTCCAATCATGCACCACACGACCCCCTGACACCACAGGGGGGCGGGGAGGAGGGGGCACAAGATTGGAGCCAGGGGGCGGATGCAGCCCCAACAGGGGGATTATTCGATTTGTCAGGTTTGGCCAATGCTTTGCCTCCAGGCTTGGAAGCAACAGGAGACCACTTTGGCAACAGCTTGAAACGCGATTCTGTCTGTCGGTCGTCGGCAGGGGAGGGTTGCAACAGCTCGTTGGCCGCCCACTTCGCCCACCGATCGGCCTTGGCGTTTCCCGAAGCATGCCGCCATTCCTTTGTGTGGGGCTCTAAATCGGAGAGCTTCTGATGCGACTTGACTTTGATCAGGTCGATGTCCCGACTCCAGCCGGCACAACCTTTAATGAGCAACTTGAGGCCATAACGAAAACCTTTAGGGGACAGACCTGGTGCGTGCAGACTGCATGTGCCAGTGTAGTCGGCAATCAAGGCCGAGATGTTCCTTCCGAATTTGACCGCGGCGTATGCAGCTAAGAATTCTTTTGGCTAGAGTGGTGTTCGGGTCCAACGCCCACAAGGTCGCATTCTCGAGACCAAGCCCTGCTGGGGCATTGACGTCAAACTTAACCTTGACGTCCAGACCCGCCTGAATATGAGTCCAGTCCGCATTCTTGAGAGCATCGATATCTTCAAAGCTGAAATGCTCAGCTCACTCGGCCGCCGAAAGGACGCATTCGAACAGTCTGTGATGCATGCTGTCATGCTCGTGCCCGCACGGGCACTTGCAGTCCACCTCATAACCCGCCTCTCGAAGACCAAACTTGGTCCATATACTCCGGGAGGGGAAGGCGAGGAGGATGAAACGCTCCCGAGGGGTACGAGAAGGGGAGTTGAGGACGCTGAGGGCAGCAGAAACGCAGACCTGATCCCCCACCCACCCCAGTCGCTCGCTCGCTTGCTCCACCAGCCTGTGTTGATGATGTTGATGCTGATTCTGATGAAGGTAATGGTGGTTGTGGTGGTGGTGGTATTAATGATGATGCTGATGATGATGATGATGGTGATGATGACGATGCCGAGGAGGAGGAGGAGGAGGAGGAGGCCGGATGACGATGATGCTGATGACGATGATGATGATGATGATGATGATGATGATGATGATGATGATGATGATGATGATGATGGTGATGATGGTGATGGTGATGGTGATGATGATGACGATGACGATGACGATGACGATGACGATGACGATGACGATGATGATGATGCTGCTGATGATGATGATGATGATGATGATGCTGCTGATGATGATGATGATGATGATGGTGGTGGTGTGGTGGTGATGATGATGATGATGCTGATGCTGATGCTGATGCTGATGATGATGATGATGATGATGATCTGATGATGATGATGATGATGATGATGATGATGATGCTGATGATGATGATGATGATGATGATGATGATGATGATGATGATGATGATGATGATGATGATGATGATGATGATGATGATGATGATGATGATGATGATGATGATGATGATGATGATGATGATGATGATGATGATGATGATGATGATGATGATGATGATGATGATGATGATGATGATGATGATGATGATGATGATGATGATGATGATGATGATGATGATGATGATGATGATGGTCGTGTCTCACTTGTCATCTCATTAGCGATTGAGTGCCGCGAGGGTTTATCCTCCGAAACCGTCTGGCTCAGTTCTCTCGCAAGGTCTCCAGATGCTGAGCCCCCGCGCGCTGGCCGGGCTGGGCATCGCGCATTTCGCCGGTGCGTTCCTGGGCCATTTCGCGGCGCAGCCCGCCCCCCTGGTGCCGGAGGAGGCGCCTGGGACCTGCCCCGCGGAGGCGGGGGTGGACAGCGGCGCCGCGGCGTCGCGGGACCTCCAGCAGGTGCCTGGCACGCTGCAGGAGGCGCTGGGCGACTGCCTGGCATCGCGGGCGCCTGTGTGCCCGAGCCCCTGCCCCGAGTGCCGCTGCGACTGCGGGACCGGGGCTTCGGCGTCGCCAGGCTGGTGGCGCGCGGCCCTTGAGCTCGTGGTGGGGGCTGCCGTGCTCCTCGCCCTCGAGTTCTTCCGCGGGCTGCTGGGCTGGGCCCGCCGGGCCATCTCCTGCGCGAGCCGCTCGTGGGGCCCGCCCGCGTCGAGGCCGGGCTTGGCGGCCCCAGGCTCGCCTGACCCGCGTGTGCCGAGGGGAGGCGGCCAGTATCGATGAATGTTGGGGACGAGATTTGGGTTGAGTACGATGTCGATCCTCCCCTTCTACATGCTCGGCTTCTTCTGGTGGGCTCGTCTCGCACCCCGGGCGCCTTCTCTGTGCTCACTCCCGACATGGACGTGTATGTCGAGGAGTACACGCCCGCGAACACCGACCTGCGGGGATACTACCTCAAGCAGCCTCGAGGTGTCGGAGCTCTGGCGGTGGCAGCGCCTGGGGGACGAGGGCGCTATGACTTCGCCCACCTCCCGACCGCGCCGCAGATGGTCGGGGTGCTCCAGGAGGCGCAGGTGGCCATGGCGTGCCTCGAGGGCGGCGGTGCAGGAGGCGGGGGTGCAGGCGGCGGGGCTGCTGGAGGGCTGCCGGGTGCCGGCGTGGCCGCGGGCCTGCCCGCCGCCCTGGGCGGTGGCGGAGCCGCCGCCGGCGCGGCTCCCCTTGCCCTGCAGGGGCCCGCCGGGGCCGGCGGCGCTGGCGCCCCTGGCGCGGCAGCCGGCGCGGGCGGTGCCGCGGGCGTGGCCCCTGCCGGCGCCTTGGTGGCCGCGGGCGAAGGGGCCCCAGCCGCTGCCGCGCCTGCCCCGGCCGCGGGCGGCTTGGCTGGCCTCGCCGCCGCGCTGGGGGGACCCCCTGGTGCAGTCGAAAGCGATGGCGCTGGAGCTGCTGTGGGGGGCGAGCGAGGCGGGGGCGATCTACGGACCCTTGCTGTGCGGTATGATCGACAAGGGTTGCGATATCGAGAGTTTCGGGAAGCTGTTCAGAGCAACCGATCCACCAGTTTTCCTGACTGGCCCGTCCCAGGGCCGCGTACCTTCCAGTGGGTGGCGGAGTACCAGATGGAGCACGGGGGCACCCCCATGGGCCACCACGTGGCGTGGAAGGCGTCGCTGGGAGCCTCCGTCGGGGGCGATGACCCAGTGGTGCACCTGCGCGCGGAGTTTAGCAAGCTCATGCAGACCATGTGCACCTGCGACCAGCTGGACGGCGCCAACCTCGCTTGCGGTGAGCTGGTGGCCCGCCAACTCCAGCTGTGCGAGGAGAAGTACAAGGACGAGATATTGTCACAGCGGGGGGAGGCGGGCTCCAGCAGGACGAAGGGTACTTCTTCACCGACATGGGCTCGACGAGAGGCCTCATGGTCAGTCCAGAGCTCACCAAGTGGGTGGCGGAGCGCCTGCAGGCCGAGAGCAGCATCGCGAAGGAGCGCCGCAAGGCGCGTGAGGAGCGACAGCTTGCCGCGCCCAGCGGCGGAGGCGGAGCCGGCAGCGGGGGCGGTGGCCCCGGCGGCGGCGGCGGCAAGAAGGGGAAGACGTGACGAGAACGGGGCGTCCCTTCGCCCCGCTGGTGAGGGAGCTCAGCCGACTCTCACTGGCTCCTCCAGGCTTGAGCATCGCGCTCCTGTGGTCTCATGGGCCCCAGTCGTCAGCGAGATGTGTTCCCCCTTCCTCTTTTTCGTGATCTGCCTGCCCGACAACCGGCTTGCCGTGCTGTGGGGCGCCGTCGGGATAGACTGGTGCATTCACTGCAGTGGGCTAACCTCGGCATCGGATCGCTCAACGAGTTGGCAGGACGCAGCGGCAGCCGCCCACGTCGTGCCTCAGTTTTGCAGCACATGGCGCTCGAGCGCATCCGGGAGCAGTACGCCACTTTCCCGGGGCCGCCTGAGGACGTGTGCCCCCGCGGGAGCCTTCGCGAGCTCTGCGGCGCCTGCCCCATGTACGGTATGGAGCGGGCGGATTTGGCATCCTACAGCGAGGACAAAGTTTCCTGGCCTGCAGAGGGGGCGGCTCCTGTGTCCCTCGAGTCCGCCCTCCAGCCGGCCGACGCGGCGTGGCTGTCGGATTGGGGGGCCAACATGCTTCGAAGCCCGGAGGAGGCTGCTCAGCTTCGCGCTGAACTGGGACTACGTGCTCCTTACTCTGATCCTGGGCTGCGAGACCCCAAGGTGTACGGACGGTTTTTTTGAGCCGCTGCACCGTCGTGGCATGCTCCAGTTTTGCAAGTGGGATGGCAAGGCCCCGACGTTGGGGGCCTTCACGGTTCGCAAGATGGGGGACCGCCAGAGGCACATCTTCGACACCGGGCTGGTCAACCTGCACTTTCGACAGGCGCCTGCTACCGAGCTGCCGTCGGCCGCATCCTTCTCTCGTTTGGA